GTGCCCACAGGACAGCCCGGCGTTTTTTGCCGTTGATCTGGTTTTTTTCTGGCTTCCCACAATTGCAAGGATTTCGATATTTCTGACAATTAATGGCTTTTCAAAAGGAGCAAAATTCCACATATTAAAAAAGCTGTATGTTCACTCCTTTTTACACAAAAGGGATTGGAATAAGAAGAAGTTTTCGGAGGAGTCGTCGCCCATTGAATTTTCTTCAGTAACATTTGGCTTCATTCAAAGCCCACAGCCAACTTTTCTATCATAAAAAGTGCAGCCCAAATTGAAATGCGAATATTGTTTGATAATGTACACCAACGAACGTTTTCAAAACATACCAGCACGGTCGGAAGGAGCACGTTGGGCAGAACAGGTGAGACTGAATTGTTTTTGTTGGTACTAGCAAACAACTTCCTGAGGAATGTTGGGAATCGGCGAATGGGATCGCCGTAGACGCGGTATAGGATAATCATCTTCGAAAGGTCATTCACCCTGTACTTTAATCCTCGGAATTAAATGTGGGCATTGAGAAGAACTCAAACCCTGATATCTCATATCATATACATATTCTCTTATACAGTTCAAGATTCTGTGTGTTCATTTTCTTTTGAGTCAAACCGTTTCTATATGCGATTGTTGTGGGCATCAGCTCGCAGCGGATTCCAAACAATGATTGGCAGGATGACATACGCATCGGAACAATGTATCACACAATTCCACCAAGTATATCGGTAGATAACGATTAGTTTCGTCGCCATGTAAAATGCATCATCCCTTATCGGCAAAAGAGCGGTCGTCAACTCATTGGGCTGTTTTCGATAAGAAAATGACCAAAAGAAGGAGTGCTGAAGAAATGTGCATTACAACTCGAACTCAAACACTTTAGTGTACTGTACTATCATTTCTTGCAGTTTACAGCATGATACTCTGTTGTAGCTGAATACGATTTAGATTTTTGTACCCAATGTCCAATTGAATGAATCCACGAGGGGAAAAAATGGCGGAGTAAAAATTGGAATGGTTTTTTATTGCAGTATCAAGTCTCGCTTTACAACTCCATCCTGAAGGACAAATCCAAACATCCGTATTTCTCAGCTCGGTTTCCGGGTGCATGCAATTCAATCAGCCCTTTGTAGTTTCCCTGGAAGGTGAAAGAATTTCATCAGGACCACATTTTGAATGAGGATGATAATGTTTCAATTGAAATTAGTGCAAGAAAGCTATAGAATCTTTCCACCGGGGTAAACCCCGCTTCACAAACGTATGCAAGAAAATATGTATCTTTACTCTTTAGTATATATAGGCGGCGGCTATTTTGCTGGAAGTACGATTATCTTTTCAGTAGATAGACAGTGTGCCATACTTTTTGGCGGCAATGTTCTGCTCAAGTAATTTTCATGACCTTTCTTGGCATCCAGCTCTCAAGAATAGAGCGCTTTCCAATTATTTCTTTGTCTTAAAATAATCTCGGATAAGATAATCTGAACGTCACGGTACCATGTCTATAGAGGTTCACCATGTACATATTTTTTCTGAACATCAAATTCCCAAATGCAATGCAAACCGTTTTCGGTCAAAATGTGGTGAATCACATTTCATTCGATGATATATATATATATATAGAGACGACAAATTTCCTTCTCATGAAAAATTCTCATTGTACTGCATTCTCATTTGAAATATTTGAATATAAAATACACGGCCTGAAGTCGACATGATAGTTGCACTGCTATATCCGTCGAAGATTTGCATCTTGTACTGATCACATTTCAAGAATGTTTAAAAAAATATAACTCAAACATTTCAGGGGAGTTCTCAGTATTCAGCAGCAAGAATAATGCGGGAATTTGAATTTATAATTTTGTCTAGATATACGCATATGAAAAATATAAGCGGTAATTAACTACAGGTTCGAAACTCTCAATTCTGAAGCGAATTACTTTGTTCACTTCGCATGACAAATGATTTTCTGCAAAATTCTACTCACGGCAAGGAGAGCTCCGACCAAGCTGCCAAAATTGGGGATTTCCAAGGAGATCGGACCCGACGGGGCGTATGTTCCCGGGACAATTGGGCAACTGCAGTTGCCATTCTCATCAGTTGGCAACACTGTGCAGAAGGTCTCCTGGTTGGTCAGGACAGCGGGGCAGAACTCGAAGGGGCTGCAGAAACGATGTATTCGTAAAAATGTTAATCAAACTTCAGTTGACATTGAATAAAGAACTAATTAATCGTACTCGAACTCAGAGTGACATAATTAATTTCCTCGTCTGATTTTTATATTTGTACGAAACGAATTTGAATTTTTGATATTCGAATTTTAGTCGAGAGCAGGCAAAATCTCTCATTTTTGTAGTCTTACGAGGTCTAATTGATTAGGCATTGGCACGAATTAACGAGCAATTATTGCAACGGAAGTAGCGGTCGATTTGTTGCTATTAATAAACAAAAAATTAATAGGCGATCCTGCTGAGTCACTCAACTTTCAAAGGTTCGAAGATTGCAATCGAAATTCCAACTATAATTTACTCACCAAGCACCGGTTTCACCAAGGCAAGGCAACGAGATCGGGATGAGGCCTTGCTTAACGAACTCCATGTAAACCCAGGCGTTTTGGGGAATATCCGAATGAACAGTTACGCCGAGCTCAAGGTTTATGGAACCCGGGTATTTCACAGGGTCCGGACTCAGAGTAACTTGATCAAAGGTGAGCAGAGCATTCGGACCTACGGAGTATCAATTACATGATACACTGATGAATCACGACTTATTATTCCCAACTGCCGCCAAAAGTTATTCGGACAGCTTTTCTGAACAATTTTGGGCTACTATAACGGACCACGAAATTTGAAACATTTCTCCAAGGACCGGCAGAATAATATTTGTGAGCCTGCGCTGATATTTTTCTAACAACATTTCAGCAATGGGCTGTTTTGCATGTTCTCAGTCTTGCAAAGCTTTTTTCGGAGCTTAAGAATCACCTGCAAATTCGCAAGCCAGTTTAGTGAAAAATGTTAAATAAAAATTGTCTTTCCTCTGCAGAAAATAGGCCAATAAAAGAAGGAAATTTTGAAGGGATTCTTGGTAAAGTCGGTATAGCAATACTTTTGAAAAATCACCCAAACAAGATTTGAAATGATGTGTGATGCTTGCCAAATAACATGGATCGAGAGTTGCTGTTTCAAGAAGTTAAAGAAATTGCTTAAAGTTTTCAAGGAGTTCATCGTAATTAATTTTCAATGCACAAATCTAGCAATTGATTCCGAAATATTTCTAAATGACCAACTTTCTGAATTTACTTCAATAATTTTTTCATTTCAAAAACTATTTTTATTGCATCCCTCCTGTGACATTTTGCTTCCTCAATCAGAAAGAATTTTAAATATTATGAGCAAGCAATTCAATTATTCATCCTTATCCATGAATTCAAAAGTATAATATTTCTTTGATCGTAAATGAAGAGATATCATCGACAGATGTCGAGTTTTCGAGGAATTTCTCTGCTTCAAATTTGTAACACAAAATTTATTTTATGCAGAAAGACGGTATGGTGAAATTCAACATTTTCTACCTTACATATCCGTGCGTTTATGAATTTACTGACCTCCGCAATCAGTCAGCGAGGCTGCTTTGATTAGGTGTTGGGTTTGCATAGCTTGCAAGCCTCCGAGAACCCCGACGACGGCGATAGCTACCAACAACTTCATTTTTAAATTTCAACACTGCAATATCTGGTGATGATGTGAATCAAGCACACAAAGGGTTTAATGCACAGTTATCAGCAAATTACAATACTTGAACTAAACTTAAAATCCGAATGAATACTTGTTCTATACTATCAACAGCTATTTTCCAAACTGAAGAGCAGTGTTTATGGCGAGCTCTTTAAAAAGGGATTGCCCAGGAACTGAGGATCCGTTACTAGATCCGGGTAATTCGGGATCTTTTCGTCTGTGATAGTCGAGTGCGGATATGATACTGCTGTTCATTTATCTTCCGAGTGGAAGCAGACGTATAAAGTCAAAAGAAGGATTAAAAATACGTCACTATAGCTTATCCGTTGCATTCGAACATGGCCACACAATTCGGCACTCGGAAGTCCCGATTATGTCGTCAGGCGTCAGGGCCTAACTTTACTTCACTAGCGTTTTACCGTTCTGGGGATTTAGACGACTGTCATTATCTAACACTATACAGTACACAGACATGGTAAGGAAATTCGTGCTCGAAAATGAACAACCAAGATATGCAAGTACAGTATACGAGTATACAGCATATCGTAGGCCAGAGTAAGCGTTTTAAAACAACCAATAAAACTAAATATCCCTTGCGCTTCTCGCAACCAAATAGATAATTTTGAACGTTAGGAATCCACCGAATTTCTGGAAAGGAGTTCCGTTTGATAAACCATACAGAAAGCGGATTGGAAGGTGCTGGCGAAAAGAAAATGGGAACGTGTATATAATGCGTTCGGAAATTTTCTGTCGGGAAATCAGTGTTGAAAATTATCTTTCCAATCGGCCATTCGAAATTCCGCGTCCGATTTTTTCTTCTGTGGATTGAAATGAAATTAAAATTGNGCGGTAATTAACTACAGGTTCGAAACTCTCAATTCTGAAGCGAATTACTTTGTTCACTTCGCATGACAAATGATTTTCTGCAAAATTCTACTCACGGCAAGGAGAGCTCCGACCAAGCTGCCAAAATCGGGGATTTCCAAGGAGATCGGACCCGACGGGGCGTATGTTCCCGGGACAATTGGGCAACTGCAGTTGCCATTCTCATCGGTTGGCAACACTGTGCAGAAGGTCTCCTGGTTGGTCAGGACAGCGGGGCAGAACTCGAAGGGGCTGCAGAAACGATGTATATTCGTAAAAATGTTAATCAAACTTCAGTTGACATTGAATAAAGAACTAATTAATCGTACTCGAACTCAGAGTGACATAATTAATTTCCTCGTCTGATTTTTAAATTTGTACAAAAGGAACTTGAATTTTTGATATTCGAATTTTAGTCGAGAGCAGGCAAAATCTCTCATTTTTGTAGTCTTACGAGGTCTAATTGATTAGGCATTGGCACGAATTAACGAGCAATTATTGCAACGGAAGTAGCGATCGATTTGTTGCTATTAATAAACAAAAAATTAATAGGCGATCCTGCTGAGTCACTCAACTTTCAAAGGCTCGAAGATTGCAATCGAAATTCCAGCTATAATTTACTCACCAAGCACCGGTTTCACCAAGGCAAGGCAACGAGATCGGGATGAGGCCTTGCTTAACGAACTCCATGTAAACCCAGGCGTTTTGGGGAATATCCGAATGAACAGTTACGCCGAGCTCAAGGTTTATGGAACCCGGGTATTTCACAGGGTCCGGACTCAGAGTAACTTGATCAAAGGTGAGCAGAGCATTCGGACCTACGGAGTATCAATTACATGATACACTGATGAATCACGACTTATTATTCCCAACTGCCGCCAAAAGTTATTCGGACAGCTTTTCTGAACAATTTTGGGCTACTATAACGGACCACGAAATTTGAAACATTTCTCCAAGGACCGGCAGAATAATATTTGTGAGCCTGCGCTGATATTGTTCTAACAACATTTCAGCAATGGGCTGTTTTGCATGTTCTCAGTCTTGCAAAGCTTTTTTCGGAGCTTAAGAATCACCTGCAAATTCGCGAGCCAGTTTAGTGAAAAATGTTAAATAAAAATTGTCTTTCCTCTGCAGAAAAAAGGCCAATAAAAGAAGGAAATTTTGAAGGGATTCTTGGTAAAGTCGGTATAGCAATACTTTTGAAAAATCACCCAAACAAGATTTGAAATGATGTGGGATGCTTGCCAAATAACATGGATCGAGAGTTGCTGTTTCAAGAAGTTAAAGAAATTGCTTAAAGTTTTCAAGGAGTTTATCGTAATTAATTTTCAATGCACAAATCTAGCAATTGATTCCGAAATATTTCTAAATGACCAACTTTCTGAATTACTTCAATCATTTTTCCATTTCTAAAACTATTTTTATTGCATCCCTTCTGAGACCTTTTGCCTCCTCAATCAGAGAGAGTTTTAAATCTTATGAGCAAGCAATTCAATTATTCATCCTCATCCATGCATCCAAAGGTACACTATAATATTTCTTTGATCGTAAATGAAGACATATATCATCGACATCTTGCGATTTTTCGAGGAATTTTTCTGCTTCAAAATTGAAACACAAAATTTATTTTTTGCAGAAAGACGGTATGGTGAAAATTCAACATTTTCTACCTTACATATCCGTGCGTTTATGAATTTACTGACCTCCGCAATCAGTCAGCGAGGCTGCTTTGATTAGGTGTTGGGTTTGCATGGCTTGCAATCCTCCGAGAACCCCGACGACGGCGATAGCTACCAACAACTTCATTTTTAAATTTCAACACTGCAATATCTGGTGATGATGTGAATCAAGCACACAAAGGGTGTAATGCACAGCTATCAGCAAATTACAATACTTGAACTAAACTTAAAATCCGAATGAATACTTGTTCTATACTATCAACAGCTATTTTCCAAACTGAAGAGCAGTGTTAATGGCGAGCTCTTTAAAAAGGGATTGCCCAGGAACTGAGGATCCGTTACTAGATCCGGGTAATTCGGGATCTTTTCGTCTGTGATAGTCGAGTGCGGATATGATACTGCTGTTCATTTATCTTCCGAGTGGAAGCAGACGTATAAAGTCAAAAGAAGGATTAAAAATACGTCACTATAGCTTATCCGTTGCATTCGAACATGGCCACACAATTCGGCACTCGGAAGTCCCGATTATGTCGTCAGGCGTCAGGGCCTAACTTTACTTCACTAGCGTTTTACCGTTCTGGGGATTTAGACGACTGTCATTATCTAACACTATACAGTACACAGACATGGTAAGGAAATTCGTGCTCGAAAATGAACAACCAAGATATGCAAGTACAGTATACGAGTATACAGCATATCGTAGGCCAGAGTAAGCGTTTTAAAACAACCAATAAAACTAAATATCCCTTGCGCTTCTCGCAACCAAATAGATAATTTTGAACGTTAGGAATCCACCGAATTTCTGGAAAGGAGTTCCGTTTGATAAACCATACAGAAAGCGGATTGGAAGGTGCTGGCGAAAAGAAAATGGGAACGTGTATATAATGCGTTCGGAAATTTTCTGTCGGGAAATCAGTGTTGAAAATTATCTTTCCAATCGGCCATTCGAAATTCCGCGTCCGATTTTTTCTTCTGTGGATTGAAATGAAATTAAAATTGATTTCAAAAATTTCCAGCGTTTATTCCAGTTCCTCAAGCCCAGAAGTAAGTAAGTTATTTTCGACCGCAACAAATGACGTCTCCCTTTATGGTAATCTTTGAGCTTTTTTACGTGCATTATTTAGTGAAATGGAAGAGAATTCTGCTCGAAGTTAATCAATTTTTTTTGGGAAATAAAATCAACCAATTGGACATATTCCACATTAAGCGCTGGCCTCAAAATGGACCTTTTCGCGCCCAGTTTTACGCAATCGTGGTAGAAATAGAGTTTTCAAAGGAGAAACCTTGCTTCGATTATTGTTCGGAGGATTATGAAAATTTAGAAAAGTTGCCCTATAAATTCCTTTCATCTTAGATTGTCCATATGAACGAAATTATCCGCGCAAATTTGAAGAGTCTGGAAAACAAAAAGGAGTTCCGTTTGATAAACCATACAGAAAGCGGATTGGAAGGTGCTGGCGAAAAGAAAATGGGAACGTGTATATAATGCGTTCGGAAATTTTCTGTCGGGAAATCAGTGTTGAAAATTATCTTTTCAATCGGCCATTCGAAATTCCGCGTCCGATTTTTTCTTCTGTGGATTGAAATGAAATTAAAATTTATTTCAAACATTTCCAGCGTTTATTCCAGTTCCTCAAGCCCAGAAGTAAGTAAGTTATTTTCGACCGCAAAAAATGACGTCTCCCTTTATGGTAATCTTTGAGCTTTTTTACGTGCATTATTTAGTGAAATGGAAGAGAATTCTGCTCGAAGTTAATAAATTTTTTTTGGGAAATAAAATTAACCAATTGGACATATTCCACATTAAGCGCTGGCCTCAAAATGGACCTTTTCGCGCCCAGTTTTACGCAATCGTGGTAGAGATAGAGTTTTCAAAGGAAAAACCTTGCTTCGATTATTGTTCGGAGGATTATGAAAATTTAGAAAAGTTGCCCTATAAATTCCTTTCATCTTAGATTGTCCATATGAACGAAATTATCCGCGCAAATTTGAAGAGTCTGGAAAACAAATCTGACATTTTAAAAATATACTTGCATGATGAATTATGTTTTTACTGCACTTTACGGAAACCTTCCAAAAAATCCCATGGCTTATTTTCGTAGTCTTCCCGGCACATGATTTCCCACATGAAGAAAAGAAGATGAATCCTATCCATCACTTCGGTCTCTTATTCTCTGCTGAAGTTTGTTGATTGATACATGCTACCAAGTACCAATATAACTCACATGCTCACACTTTTCTTGTGCTTGGTTATTCGAGAGGATGGACTTCTATGCACAGTAACCAGCAGGCACCAGGAAGTCTTCCAGCAGGTAAGCATACCCATATACGGATGAAGTTTTAGAGCGATGACGGTATAGTAAGCTACATGAATGTGTGGGCGTGCAAATGTCACCGCATGATTCTGATTAGCTGATTGCATTCTTAATTGAGTAGACACCTTTCTAGGGCAAGTATTCACTCATGAAAATTGTATCACAGACGGTTATCTCATTTTCAAAATTGACGATATTTTCTTGCGCGTGATGTGTGCATTTATCCCTCAGAACGATGAGGTTGTTTAGTTGGTTATTTTGTATTTGGTTCGGTGCACTTCATATGTTGTCCATGTGAATTAATTTCGGACTTGTGACTTGTAATTTAGCGCTGCAACATTTTTGCTCACTGAGGAGAGATGTCATGAATTGAAATGCAGATGAAACTCTTCAACTCGAACCTCCCTGAGCGAGTCAAATACCTTCGTATAAAAATTCTTTTACAGCCGTTTTCTGAATATTTTCAGAAAAATGCATAAAAACCTTCCCCAACTTGAAGGCTTCCGTTCCCATACTTCAATGACTCGAATTTCGTTCGGAAATTTTTGCTATTGATTTTTTGACCATAGAAAGATAAAATTAATAATAAAAAATAAGGATGTGAATTGAAAAGAATTGAGACTAATTGGACAAATGAACGCTTGCCTCCAAGGTCAGCATTGGGTCAACTCATTTCAGACTCTCATCAAGGCTCAGAATATCACCAGCAATCACATTATCCTGTAATTCTTCTTTCTCTGCCCTCCACCAAGCATAAAAGTTTGTTTTCTCAACTCGAAGCCTATACCGAGCTCGAGTTTTCAGCTAGTCCCTTCAAATTCGATTTGAACAGGTTCATCTGTCCTTTGAAATAGACTGCATCACTTCCCGTTTGAAGAATCAGCTTTGGTGAGTAATTCGATTTAGAGGTTCGTACGAATTGTTTTTTTTTTTAAGCCTTAATATCCGTTTGCAGACGCAATTCACTGATCGTGAACCTCAGTGTTTTTAGCTGAGTATTTTTGTAGGAATTTTTTCACTTCTCATTTTAAATCTGTTCCACTTCCGACTTGAAAATTGAAATTCTTGTAGATAATTCTCCATTTTCATATATGCCCGGAAGTATTAATGCCTTAAAATGATCATACCACTGATTTGGATAAGTCAAGAAGGATTTTCGCAAATTGTTAAACACTAAAGAGACATTTAAAATGCCCCTGCAGGTATTCGAAGGAATTGGGGAGCAGTGGAGTCATCTGAGGAGAATCAAGTGACACCATGTACAGTATTCCAAAGGAACCACGATGGTTTCAAGAAAATCTAATAGATGATCGAATCAAAGGAATAAATTGACGAATACAAATGTGAATGAATCTCATCACGTTGGAGCTTCTATTCTGGCTTAATAATCTCGAATGACATCCCCATGCAACCGTACTGCTCGGACTTGTTTCCGCCAGCATGGAATTGAATCTCTCCATCGTAGCGACCCTGAAAAATGAACCATGTCTTTCAATTTGGAAAGGAATGACCGAAGATTCAGATCTATAGATAGAAAAGTGTATACCTGAAGGAGCAAAGCAAACAAATCTCCCAAGTCCGGAAGCACGAAGACGAGCCCTTCAGAAACGTAATGTCCAGCTTTGATTGGACAAGAACAAACGCCGTTCTCATCTACCGGCAACAGCTCGCAAAATACCTCCGGCATGGTTGTCACCAAATCACATGCTTTGTAAGAACTATTCGACAAGAGATCGGAAAATTTTCGTGCAGAATACCATAAAAAATGAAGAATTCTAAAAATCATCCTAGAAATCAGGAAGATCTAAATAGACTGTCGGTCAAGCATGTGATGCGCTAAATGCAGGGAAATGTGATTGACCTTCTTTCTTCTCTGCTGCATGTTAACAATTTTGAACTCGATCATGAAAATAATTCACACGAAGTGATGGTGCACAATCGCAAATGCCATTTTCATTTATTTGGTGTCACCAAATTACTCAGTTAACTTTTCTGTACAAAGCAATATTCCATCAGCAAATTTGTTGGCTAAAATTTAAGCTCTACAATTGCCATTCCAAAATCACAAGTCAAATAATACCCCTTCTTGATCCTTATCTCTGAAAAAATGGGAAAATTGAACTTTCGGAGTAAAACTATTGGTCAATAGAAATTTCACAAATTGTATGCATAAATTTCTGCAAGACGAGCGGAAACCTCACATCTTCAAATGTCAGAACATGGACACAATAAAAAAAAACCATGTGGTTTTTGATCATTACCTTGTTTTCTGCCAAACATTCCAAAAAAACCATGACTCGTCGAAGGAATTCTTACTTTTTTTGGCTATCTCAAGACCTTCGTTTAGTTTTCTTTTTTGTTGTACTGTGATTGCTTTTTTTATTGTCATGAACTGATTTTGCCGAACGAGCAATCATATCGCACTTATCCACACGCTTTCTTCGCTGATTTTCATTTGATTGTGGGTAATCTGAGCCCTTACCAAGAGCCGAGTCCACCAAGACAGGGCACAGGAATTTCGAAGGGATCCAGCAAAGTCAAGTCCAAGCTGATTTCCATATGCTCAGGAATATCCTGCAGCGTATTGATGTCCATGGCAATCACAACCGATCCTGGGTATTCAATCGGGCTCGGTGACAAGGCCGCACTGTTCATTTGCAAAATAGCATCAGGTCCTGTTCGAATAACAAATCGATATACAGTAATTATAAGTCTCCTCGAATCTAAATTCAAATCATGAATTCTCATGAGGATCGGTTTCTATTTTACATCAAGAAAAAAAAATTCTTGTGAAAAAGCAAGAAAAGAAATCGGTCTCACCTGAACAGCTGCTAATTTCAACCCTATCGATTTTGTGTCCGCTTTTCAAAGGCGGGATTTTGAAATGCATTTGGGATGCGGAACACTCAATCATCAGAGTTGCCAAAGCGATTGACAGCACATGCAGGAATTTCATTTTCACGCTCGTTTTTTTTCCCCTGTAAATAAGACATCGACATGTGACGTTAAAATTACTAAATGGCATTTCTCAATGGAAGCCATGGGTTGCTTCAATTGCGTCGCTAACTTTATACGTGAAGCATCTCCATGAATAGTGAAGGCGATGTCAATATATTCAACTTGATTTTAGTTGTTCATTCTATACAGATGTGTGAATTGAATTGAAGAACTGTACATTGTATATATAGGAACAATTCTATAGTTATGAGGGCATAAAAATATTTAGTTTAATCGGTATAAAATCTTTATGCTTGATTTTGAGCGACGAGATCACGGGACTGGATATAAAAACTGTTGCTAAAATTTTAAAACACCCAGAGAACACAAATTGAAAAGAACAGTACAGTAGACCAAAAAGCATTTTAAGAGCCCGTTTTCTTATCATCTTTATGTGACTCGCATGGGTGTAAAATTGACTTATTCTTCAATACAAACAACGCTGTAAAGGAAAGTTAAATTTTTCCTTCTGAAATTTTAAAAGTGCGAAATGGCCCAGGGCACTGTTCGTTCAACGTGAAGCTGTAAAACTGCGTGCTAAATGCTAATTAAGCTGGCATATAATCTTTCGTACGCGTGATGTTGAACCTTTCTTTTTGTGTTGGATGCAAACCTCAGTTCTCCAAAATAATAGCCAGCACAAACACTTATTGTGATCATATCCATTCAATTTATTCGCACGTGTTATTCTACTCGCGAGGAACCAAACTCTTCAGCAAATTCCATATTTGAACAATTATGAATTCACTTTTATTCAGTTTCGCTATTAATTTTCAACATAGAACAATGCACACGACAAGTTCCCCAAGGGATTTGAGGGTTAGATCCTTGAATCAGCAAGAGTTTTAAAGGAGAATTTATGCGAGCTTCCGTGTTCCATGTTTGCATGGCAACGAATATGGCCAAGACCGGTTTATTTTCATTCAACTGCAAAATTGCATAACTTTTTTCTCGTCACTCGTAAGATAAACAGCTGAATTCACGCTACTTGATTCCGGGAATTTGCCTTCAACAGCGTGCAAAAAGCATCCACACAGCTTATCTGCAAAATGCGGCGATAAAAGCCGTGAATGCGGGTTTCTCGAACATCACATGGGCTGGTTCCCATTCTCCGAATTAGCATCTTGGACCCGCTCCAAGCCCATTTTCGCGGGGAACAAATGCAAAACTATCTTTTTTATTTTTTCCTTTTTTTTGCGCCTGATATATTCTGCCCCCCCCCCCCTCGCCTTTTTTTGTTGTTCTTTGATACGTTTTGCTTGTATTAGAAGCTAAATGCACTCTTGCTTCCAGGCCTCGTGTGTGCATTCATGAGCAGGATCCATCTGCACTACGATGAATATCCGATGATCCCATCGAGCATCATTTTTCTTGCCGAAAGGAGCCCTTGAAAAATTCACTTCCTCTGCATCACGAACTCTTGCGGAACTCACGCATGGGGGTTTAACCACAAATCTTTCTTCCCCACTATATACCTGATTTTGTTGTCTTGTTATGTTGTTGCACAAAATCCATTGAATTCCCGAGTCCAAGAATATTCTGTATAAGCATGACGGGGAGAAAGACGTCGTAATGTCCATCCAAGTTTAGGTCGTTTGAACTGTTTCTGATGGTGGGCTTTGAAGTTCCTTATGCGCACTTATAAATGCGTCCAAGTTTCTGGAACAACTCATTTGGAAAATTCGAGACGTCCGAATACTGTACTGAATCCGAAAGAAGGCGTCCGTATTTTTTTTCCTTCTCTGATGGAGCACCAGGAATTGTTTATAGCTTTTGAAAGTTCGGGAGAACTTCCATTATTCGGATTGATGAAGCATTTTGATGAATTAAGGGTGAGCTAGCAGATATCAATCATTTTAGAATTTTGCTGAAACAAAATCTTAGGCCTGTTTTTTTGTAATTCCTGATTAAGCCGGTTCATTTCCTTTCAATTGACCTGCTTTTCTGTATACTAAAACACATCTCTAATAATGATGAAATGGGATTTTCATCCTAAATCAGAACAAGCTAGATTATTTTTGTAGCGACGATTTAAATGAGCACTCTTTCAAGTATCGGAGTATTCGATAGCTGCGGATACATTTTTTCTTCACATACTGTACAGTAATTGAATAAATTATAGCTGTGGAAGTAATCTCAAAACAATGGACACCTATGGATTTTTTTTTTCATTTTCCGAAAAGAAATTCGGTTTCTTCACCGGTCAGTGTGATGTCAGACATGTATACGGAGTCAGAGACTAATAATACTGATGTGTAATATACCGGTGATATCCAATGATTACAGTGAAATTTCTCCAAGACCTGCGGTATTTTATACATTTGATACACTTCAAGATCTCCATTGAATCTGGTTCAAGCCTGCTCGGTGAAAAGAAGTTCAATTTAAACGTGTTTGGATGAATAATAATCATAATAACAATATTGTATGATTTTGTTTCAGAATATATTTTGATGATGTCTGGTGATTGCAGATGTCTGGTATTTAGTTCCGCAAAGGCAAAATTTCAAAACTTTCTAGACATCATTTCTCATGCAGTTTGCAGCAGTTGTGTCGTTGGGATTCCTGTATTCAGTCTTTGCATGCGACGATGTGGCTTGCAAATTGCAACAATAAGGGCAAGTTTCGATTGTTCTGAGGTTTACCTGATTTGCAAGCATGTCACGCTTAGTTACTCTATACGAAGCGTGTATACCTGTTCAAATCATTCTTCGTACTGCCATGGTTGACATCACATCGCTGCTAATTATCCCAATTATCACTGCCAACACGACAAAAGCAAATTCAAACTCGCTTAATTCTAAATCTTTGTGCTCAAAATTTTTTCTTCCTCGAAATAAGGACCGTGTTCCGCGTGGTAAATGAAGCAATTTTTTCCCTTCAGGAATAAGTATCAACCATGTCGATAATTCTGCACTTCGCAATATTATTACTCGTGGAAGAAATTCAAAGTTCACCGACAGCGGAACGAAAAATGGAAATTCGAAATGGAACGACTTGCGAACAGAAAGTCGGAGTTTTACATTACAACCGGTGAGAGCGAGAAAATTGAATTGGAAATCTCGAGTTTTTAAAATTGATTCGTACAGAATATTAATAGGTGAGAAGCAAGATTTATCAGAGTTGCACAGGACAAGTTGGGAAGATAAAAAAATACATCTCGCTTATATAAATGCATCGTATGCTGCAGTTTGATCATATTTCAGCCCGGAAATGTCAGTTTCCATATTCCCTGTGAGAAAAACTTTTCACAGATTAATATTCCCCTGAATTCTTTTGAAGTGTTTTAAGTGCTAATTGAAAAAAGTTGGAAACTTCTATACTCTGATGGGCTTATAAAGCCAAACATTGAAATTCCTCACGAGCATTAACCTAATTTCGTAACGAGCATCCTTTTAGCACCCAATCCTGCAATTTGCAAATTTGTATGCACAAAATAGAAGGCTTCCTGCTGGTTAATTTTATGTACGTTTCTTTTTACGACGAATAGAACTCTAATGATGGCACTGACGCAGTCAAGTGTTTCCGCAACTGAGGCATTTCTTCTCTTCGCCGGCCTCGGGGTTCTTGGAGCGATGCTTGCTCAAGTCTTCAACAAAATCAGCGGCAGGATAAATGCCGGACGAAAGGTTCGGTGATTCAAAGTTTTTCTATGCACATTGAAATATTTATTATGAACTTCTTATTTTAAAAGCCGCGTCACAAATATGAAAGCCGAACGACAACTATTTTGAATCAAGACGCATACGGAAAAGAAAAAAATCCACGTATCGTTCATGGGAATAGTCCCGTTATAAGAGCTTCAGTCACACTGTATAAATCTGAAAATAAAATCCCCCTCGGTTCATGACAATTATTTGTAAATGCGAATGATACTTGGAGCAAAAAATAGAATCGGTCAGACTGAAAATACAGCCTAACCTTCATTCTATTTTACTCCAGCTTTTTGTAGAACATTTTACCCCACTAAAAAAAGGTGATGCATTTCGAATCCAAATATATTTGCGAAGGTTCTTTTAGACAGGTTTTGTCAATAAAGTAGTATGATTACTGTGTTGAGAGTTTTTTGTTTGTTTGAAGGAAGGAATCAACATTGTACTTCAATGATCAGTTGAGAGCGGTACTCAAATTTTCACTTCATTCAGTGCATTTATTTGAGACAATGAGGAGTAAAAGCGTATTTTTTAATGACCGCTGTTGTGTGTTCTACAAAAAATACTAGACTTGCAGTATGAGCCAAAAAATTATACTATTCTAACACACATCAAATAAATTCAAAACTATTCATAGATTCAAAAACCAGGCCCAAAAACGTAACCCATACAAACCCCCTCCTATCCCAACCCACATTCCATCATAATAGATGAACGCGGAAAACAGAGATACAGCAAGACCCCAAGATGTGGATGTAATTGGTGCATCAAGAGTGTCCCTAAGTCAAAATGTCCCTAAGTTGAGTCTTGTTTTCCCATCAACTTCCATTATATAATTTTTAATTGGTGTTTTCTCAAAGAAATATTGATCAAAATTCCTTTTTAAAATTGAGGAAAAAAATTCTACTGATTAAAAAATTATTAAATCAGTGTTTTTCAACTCATGTAAAATATCTGGAGCATTTGAGGACATAAAACATTCACAAAATGCACAATTTCTGTGCTACTGCTGAATGTTAAGATACATCAATTCAGCAAATGTCCTCTTCTCTTCCTTTCTTCTCCAGCTGTGGCATCTTCATGATTTCTTTTTTGAGTTCCGCAGTTGGATGTTCTTGTCTTCTTAGAGGAAATTTTCAACTTTTTTTATCTAGCCTTCTTGAAATTAACCTATAAAACTTAGCTTTTTGTCAAGCAAAAAGTTGAGAATAATGTTTTTCCAACAGTTTCTTGAGGAACATACAGGGAAAAATATCCAAGTAAAAATGCTGTACCTCTGTATAACACTATTGAACATTGAGATGTTAGAATTTCCAGTAAAAATTAACTTAGATAAAAAAAG